ATTAATTAGATTATTCTGGGACCTATAAAAGAACGCCGTTAGAAACGCCGTTATACTTAAACGGCGTTACTCCCATTACTGCTAATCAACACAACGACTCCCACACAACAGAGGCTAACGATGCAAACGAACCATGAGGAGGTGTTTTGCAGGTGACAGTTTCTGCTTATCAAGCAACAAGAGACAGCTACAATAAGATCGACCCTTCTATATTCATGAAACCAAAGAAGTCCAGTTGCCTTCTTTAAAATTTGAATTACCATGCAGATGCCTCACTCATTCATGCCAGGTGTGTGACTGCAGGTAAACACTGGTGTTTGAAAGGGGGTTTGACCTAGGATAACCTTTGGAAACTTTTACTTATATCTTTCCAATGACAGCAGCACAAATATTTTTACTGGCAACATTTTTCCAGTCTGGCTAAAAGTCTGTTTAGTCGGTCTCATAATCATGACATTTATGTCATATTGAACAACAGTTGTTTTTTATTCCAATTTTAATTATTCTGTTTCAGGTGAAGTTGCTGTGTGATTCCTGTGTCCTGTTCAAGAGATCAGACATACATGGGCAAGACACATGGCAAGAATTGGTGACTGTGGTCATTCGCAACCCTGAGTTGTGCTGCTTTAATAGAGATAATCAGAATCAGAATAAGAATAGGTTTATTGCCATTGTCAGTGAACAAACAATTCTTGTTTGTTCACTTTCAAGAACTTGCTTTGGTACTAATGTGCTACATATAACATGAATAATAAGATTAAAAATAGAATAACATATAATAAAAAAACTAGAATAAAACTTTCAGCTATAAAAATGGCAGGTAATGGTAACATGGCCGATAACGTGATGTTATGTCGAGTACAGAAGACGAACATGGTTGTGTGTTTATAAGCTGTTCACAAGTCTAATGGCAGATGGAAAGAAGCTGTTCTTATGGCGGGAGGTTCTGGTCCGGATGGACCGTAACCTCCTGCCTGAGGGAAGCGGCTCGTAAAGTCTGTGTCCCGGGTGAGAAGGGTCAGCTGCTATCCGACCTGCATGCCCCCGAGTCCTGGAGACGTACAGGTCCTGGAGAGATGGAGGCTGCAGCCAATCACCTTCTCAGCAGAGCGCACAATGCGCTGCAGTCTGTGTTTGTCCCTCACCGTGGCTCCAGCGTACCACACAGCGATGGAGGAGGTGAGGATGGACTCAATGATGGCCGTGTAAAACTGCACCATCATCTGGGCCGGCAGCTTGGCCTTTCTCAACTGCCGCAGAAAGTACGTCCTCTGCTGGGCCTTTTTGATCAGGGAGCTGATGGATGGCTCCCACCTAAGGTCATGTGTGATGGTGGTTCCGAGGAAGCGGAAGGAGTCCACAGTGGTGACGGGGGTGTCCGTCAGGACGAGGGGGAGAGATGGGGCTGTGACTTTCCTGAAGTCCATAATCATCTCCACTGTCTTCTGAGCATTGAGCTCCAGGTTGTTGCTGCTGCACCAGCACACCAGCCGTTCCACCTCCCTCCTGTAGGCGGACTCATCACCGTCAGAGATGAGCCCGATGAGGGTGGTGTCGTCCGCAAACTTGATCAGTTTAACGGAGTCATGGCTCGAGGTGCAGCGGTTTGTGTACAGGGAGAAGAGCAGAGGAGAAAGTACACAGCCCTGTGGAGCTCCTGTGCTAATTGTCTTAGTGGTGGAAACATTCTTCCCCAGCCGCACGCACTGCGTACGGTCTGTCAGGAAGTCAGTGATCCACCTGCAGGTGGAGTTGGGTGCATTGAGCATGGAGAGCTTGTCCTGGAGCAGAGCAGGGAGGATGGTGTTGAACGCAGAGCTGAAGTCCACAAACAGGATCCTAGCGTAGGTTCCCAGGGAGTCCAGGTGCTGCAGGATGAAGTGCCGCTAGGGGGTGCGCGCGAGGTGAAAAGTGTAATGGCTGCGGAGCTCAGAGAAGTCTGTCATATGTCACCATTAGTGTAGCCAGAAACTCATTTGTGGTTGGGCCAAAGAAAAAGTAATTGGGCACAATAACTGTATGCGAACTGCAGAGGGTCCAGGAGGGGGGAGGTGAAGGACTTGAGATGAGGGAGGACCAGGCGCTCAAAAGACTTCATGACTACAGACGTCAGCGCCACAGGCCTGTAATCATTCAGTCCAGTGATACGGGGTTTCTTAGGGACAGGGACAATGGTGGACAGCTTAAAGCAGGGTGGAACATGGCAGGACTCCAAGAAGATGTTAAAGATGTCCGTGAAGATTGGAGACAATACCTCTGCGCAGTGTCTCAGGGTAGCGGGGGAGACACCCTCCGGGCCCGGGGATTTCCGTGGGTTTTGCTTACGGAAAACCCTGAGCATATCCTCTTCTGTCACTGAGAAGGCAGTGGAGGGGGAGGGGTGGTCAGCGGGGACTGTACTGTTCACAGTGGTGAAGGTGGTGGGGGAGGCATGTGACACCAGAGTGGCTGAAGAAACCTGTGCAGTAGGGGGTGTGGGGGATGGGTGTTGCATTTCAAACCTTGCATAAAAGGAGTTAAGTTGTTCAGCCAGTTGTAGGTCGTCAGCAGCATGTTGGGCTCTAGGCTTGTAGTTAGTGATTTGCCTGAGCCCTCTCCAGACAGAGGCGGTGTCATTGTCAGAGAACTGCTCCTTTAGACGCATATTGTACCAGAATCTCGCCTTTTTCAACTCTTTTGAGAACTGGTACTTAGCGCCCTTGTAGCTTTCTCTGTCCTTGGCTCTGTGGGCTGCTTCTTTCTCCCTCCTCAGGGTTACAGGTAAGCATTAAGAGGGTTAAAGCCGGGCGTACACTGTGCGACTTTTTCACTTTTTTGAGCCGATTTTCCAGTCGTGCGAGAAGCCACGACATCGGGGCGAGTTTTGTGCCGAGCGGTCGTGTAGTGTACAGGGGGTTACGAGAGGCGATTAACACCACGTGACCAGCCGCCGATCAGCAGTCGTGAGGTCGCAGGGACTTCTGGTGTGTTTAATATTTCGCTCGTCCCTCGTGAGGGTATCGCACTGTTGAAGCGGCGCTGCGAGCAGCTGCGAGCAGCTACGATACAAAAAGTATCAGAACCGCTCACGGCGCATGCGCGCGCAATCCTGCATCAACGCCGGCCGGTCGCTCGCTATTTCCCTAATAACACACGCTGTTCGTTTTTGTTTCTACACGTTTTTTTTACTCACAAAGATTGTCAAGAAAGCGTGTTTGTCGTGTTCATGTCAAATTAAACTGATCACAAAACACAGATTCACTTTCTTTATTTCGTTTTCCTCATCCAACCCCCATAAATCCCCGTGTGTCCTCCTGCAGCACTCCCGAAGGACAACAGGCAAGACAAAAAAGTCTGACGTGTTGAGTAAAAACTGCTATTTTTAGCACATTTTTAGGGCCGACGTGTTGCTACCAGACGTACAGTGTGAGCAGTCAGGTCGCATGCGAGAACTGGGTCGTGCAGTGTGAGCACACGACTCGTGAGATCTGCTCTGCGAGGAAGTCGTACAGTTTGAGCTGAAGCTGAACGCTGCGAGTGAAAAAGTCGCACAGTGTACGCCCGGCTTAAGAGGGTTACGTGAGGGTTGGTTCAGGTGGAGGGAAAAAAAGGCACTTCAGAGTTACCCTCCCACCAGGAGGGCAGCTTTGCTCTGCAAAAAAACACCTAAAACATATATGCAACAGACTTCAGACAACACAACATAACATGAGACTCCAATAGGAAGGCAGGGGGGGCTGTGATCCTGTTTCCCCCAGCGAGAGCAGCCATCTACGGCACTCAGCCGCTGTAGCCACAGGTGGGAGGGAGATCTTGGGAGACGCGCAGAGCACATTGACTCCTGCAGGTTGATGACCTCACCAGGCTGAAGTCCACTAATCTGAAGGTGCGGGGGGGGGGGGGTCACAGCATCTGTCTGCATTCCTTCGTGGGGGTTTGTTGCTCGCCGCTCAAGGCTGCTAGTGCATCAGATTCGGATAACAAGACTTTGTTTGGGTCAGGCTGAGATAATTTCCCTCTCTGCCTTCAGTCTTTAAACTGATCATTCCAGTCCTTCACTGAAGCCAATTTGGGTTTTCAAACTTGTCCATACCGTCCGGTGACTCTCTCCGAGATGACATCCATTTTGCGCACTAATACCGGTATCGCAGCTAGAACATTGTCCAGCTTACGATTCACCTTAAGTAACGTCCCAGTCTGAGAAGTCTCCACACGGACGGTGCTTTCTGTGGGTGCGGGTCGCCCTCCAATCGCTCCCGTCTTCCCAAATTTCCAGAAAACCAGATATCCTCCCACTCCAATCAGGAGAAATCCAGTGATCATCAGGCCGAATATCCACACGTCTTCTACATCCTCAATGGACAGCTGGCTGAGGCATGTGATCTTCCACTCCTTCCAGGAATCCAGCATATACCCCGCCGTGTGTGTCCCCTGTGGACATGTGGGAGCCCCCTGCTCCGTTCTCATTGTTGAAAAAATCTTATCAATCGTGTTGAATGACCAATTTCTCAAATCCATGGTTAAAAATAGGGTTTTTCAGAAGCAATGCAGAGAAGCGCTCTGTGGGCAGACAGGACAAAGAGCCTTGGGAAAAAAGATAAGGGATCAAAAAGAGAAGCGTCTGTACTCTGAGAGTGCCGGAAGAAAAATAAATATATTTTTTACCATTTTCTAAATTCTTTTTTATATTTTTACATTTTTTGTTTTTGTGAAGCGGCTCGTGATTTTTATCTCGAGAGGCGCTATAGAAATTATACTTTCTTCTTCTTGTTCTTCTTAAACCACCAAATGGTTCCCGAGCGCGGCTGTGTCTGCAGCTCACCCCTCCCCCTGGGGATGGGTTTGATGTGGAGAACAAAGTTGTCACACACATCAGTGTGTGACAACTGATGGGACTTTAACCTTCTAAATGACCCAGGAATTTTTACCTCTGTATGTGCTGCTCATGCTTTTTTACAGCAAAATCACTGGTTGTAGTGCACAACAAAAACACTACTGCGTGTACTGTGTTTAATGCTTACCTTGTCCCAGTTGACCTCCAGACAGAGCCTCCTTGGCTGTACCAAAACCCAGCTCTCGACACACCACAGTGGCTGAAAACAGATTCCACTTGTCATCACAAATGGTACCCCACTCTCCATTTTTCAGCACCTCCACACGGCCCTCGCCAGTGATGGCACCACCTCGGAGGCGAACCAGAGCTTGCTGTGGACAACATATTATGACGCGTTAGCCAGTAGTCTCCGTTGCTGTACTAAAACTGTACTAAAACAGAGTACGGGGACTTTTCTCATAAAGAAGAGTTGGAGGAAAGAGTTTTTCTCCCTCTCTCTTCGTGACTAAATGAAAAGGCAGTAGAATTGGTAGTTTTATTCATCCATCCAGTGGCGGCTGGCCAGTAGAGGGCGATAGGGCGCCACCCTCCCAGTTTCCCCTGTGTTTTTAATTTTTATTTTAAAAAATAAATAAATAAAATTAACAATAATCACATATTCTAAGTTAACTGTGTGCTTTGTAACAAAAATAAATCATATATGTATATATATTTATATTGGTCTCTGCCGGTCTCTGCCGAGCGGTGGAGGCTGTGTGCTGTTTTTCAATCGCCCAAACGGGACGAGACCAGCTGTCCAATTGCTGACAAGAAAATCAAAGGGTAGGAATGGGAAAGTATCCAATCAGCGTCGACGTTGTTTCAGAACGTTTCAGAAGCATGATGGGCGATAGAGCTACCGCCAAGGCTTTCGTTGGTGTTCGGTAGAACTCGGAGAGTCTCGACTCCAGCACGTTTTGACTGTCCGGGACATGTGTTTAATAACATGTTTAATGTGCAATAACTGTGAAAACTAATTTCAACACACATACCTATTATACATATTTAATCATGTAAATGTGTATTTCAAGTAAATTTGTACATACATCAATCTGAATCCATTTTACTTGTTACACTTCTGCTGCATCAAACACATTTCCCAGCTTGGGAACTGGGAAATATGACATTTGTAAGAGGATACTGATGACATTATTTCCTATGAAAGTGTTTCCACTTTCCATAAGTCCTAACAGTGTAAATTTCTGGCATTTTGTCTAAGTGGTGTTTACTACCATTACTGTAACAGTGACCTGCTCATAATTTTTCGTGTTCACTCAAATGTTGAAATGAAACAAAATGTTTTTTACTTGCCTCTTGCATTGCCTATTTACCATTTATGGTCGTGTTATTTTATGTGCAATTTAATGCAGTATTTTTCAACCTCGGTCCGCAAGGCAGCGTGCCAATAGTCAGACACACCTGGATTAATCAGTTTGTCCAATGATGTAAGACAGGAAATAAAAGAGCTGTGCTTAATTCAGGAAATAGTGAAGTTGTGCACAAAGCTCAGAAAGCACAAGTTTGTTTAAACAAAAAATAGCACAGCCCCACCAAAAATATTTTTCACCAGCCGCCACTGCATCCATCCATCCATTTTCTGCCACTTCAGGTCAGGTCGTGGGGGCACCAGCGTAAGCAGGGAGGCCCAGACTCCCCTCTCCCCAGCCACGTGGGCCAGCTCTTCTGGGGGAATCTCAAGGCGGTTCTTGTCCAACCAAGAGACATAGTCCCTCCAGCATGTCCTGGATCTTCCTTTAGGTCTCCTCCCAGTTGGATGTGCCTAGAAAACCTCACCAGGAATGCGTCCAGGAGGTATCCTAACTAGATGCCCGAGCCACCTCAACTGGTTCCTCTCAAAGTGAAGGAGCAGCGTATCTACTCCGAGTCCCTCCAGGGCATGGGCATCGCACCCGTGGGGGATGTGGGGGATTCAACACCCACACTTTTCTTATTGGGATCGTTCAACACCCACACTTTTCTTATTGGGATCGTTCAACACCCACACTTTTGTTATTGGGATCGTTCAACACCCACACTTTTCTTATTGGGATCGTTCAACAGCCACACTTTTCTTATTGGGATCGTTCAACACCCACACTTTTCTTATTGGGATCGTTCAACACCCACACTTTTCTTATTGGGATCGTTCAACAGCCACACTTTTCTTATTGGGATCGTTCAACACCCACACTTTTCTTATTGGGATCGTTCAACACCCACACTTTTGTTATTGGGATCGTTCAACACCCACACTTTTCTTATTGGGATCGTTCAACAGCCACACTTTTCTTATTGGGATCGTTCAACACCCACACTTTTGTTATTGGGATCGTTCAACACCCACACTTTTGTTAATGGGATCGTTCAACACCCACACTTTTCTTATTGGGATCGTTCAACACCCACACTTTTGTTATTGGGATCGTTCAACACCCACACTTTTGTTATTGGGATCGTTCAACACCCACACTTTTGTTATTGGGATCGTTCAACACCCACACTTTTCTTACTGGGATCGTTCAACACCCACACTTTTGTTAATGGGATCGTTCAACACCCACACTTTTGTTATTGGGATCGTTCAACACCCACACTTTTCTTATTGGGATCGTTCAACACCCACACTTTTCTTATTGGGATCGTTCAACACCCACACTTTTCTTATTGGGATCGTTCAACAGCCACACTTTTCCAGCCATTTTGCTCACCTCCACACCAGTCTGGTTTCTCTACGTCACGCTCACTCTGTTTGCTTCATCTCCTTATTCCCCTCCCTCTCCTGTTTCTCCATGAAACCTGACACCGGCTGTCAGGTTTCATGGAGAAACAGGAGAGGGAGGGAGGGATGGAGAGAGGGAAGAGCTGTCGAGCTCTTCCATCCGTCCCTCCCCTGTTCCTCTGACACAACCGGCTTTCAATGAATCGATTTGTTTCCCGCCACAAATCCCGCCTGTTTGGTCATTGTCCAACATTCGACTTATTGTGATGAAAATACACCGGGAATGTACCTACACAGAAAAGGCTTATAAACATTTTATCTAAATATTTTAGCAGATGTTAGCCCAAAAAATGTCCTGTCATATTAGGCAGATCCATGTCAAAATCAAGCTTTTGTTTACCTATTTCTCACTCAGTATAACAAAGATGCAGAAAAGGAAAAGGCAGGAGAGGATTGACAACTTTTTCAAGAAAAATACTGTAAGTTAAATTATTGTAAAATCTAAAATCATATTTAAATTAATAAATAAAACAATTATTTTAGATTATTTTTGTATCAACTGAGCCAAAATGATTCAGTTAGTTGGAGTCCACTCTTCACCATTGGACCTTTGTGGTTTAGCAGGAGGCATCAGTTTCAGGGAGAGCACAAGAAGGTTCAGAGAGGGTTCATGAAGGTTCACAGGTAAGCAATGAAATAAATACATAAATAAATAAATACAGGTTTAAGCGATTTAGTCTCAGTTTGTGAAAGAATTCAGTTAAAGCAGTCTCATTCTGTGTGTGTGTGTGTGTGTGTGTGTGTGTGTGTGTGTGTGTGTGTGTGTGTGTGTGTGTGTGTGTGTGTGTGTGTGTGTGTGTGTGTGTGTGTGTGTGTGTGTGTGTGTGTGTGTGTGTGTGTGTGTGTGTTCGTGGATATAATTCATGTCTACACATAACGTGCAGACTTTGGTGACGGCTAAGTCCATAAAAGTTATAAGCAAGTAAATCTAACTGTTAAGTTGAATCCAAATTCCATTTCCTTTCATTTTTCACTTTCGAGATATTTTAGAATTTGTAAAATTTTTACAAATTTTATGACTGATTGAAGTTCATTTTGTATTTCAACATTACATTACTAATCTCTAATTCCTTTTGTGGTACATTTGATTACTAACATTGATGAACTTCGTGTGTTTCTTCAATTTTATTTTTATTAATTCTTTTAAGGATACATTCATATATATATACATATTGACATCATGTTGATTACCACTGATTGTTTTATTACAAAACTTTTATGATTTCCCTTGATTTCAATTTCAAATGTTGCCAGTTATGAGCCACAGATTATTTAGTTTCTCCATTTCTGATTACATTATTGCTCAGCAGCTTTCATTTTCCTATAGATATTTTACAGGGTTTTGTTTATTGTGTTCTTTTATGCACCACTTTTTCAGTACATGTGGTTTACTTATAATCTGTGCTAATATCTTGTGGCCATGAGTTAATAACTCGTTCCTATGCATTATGTATCTCGTGGCCTCAAGGTTTTTTTTTTCCCTCAATGCCACCAGACGGGCACCGTAGGTTTTTCCATCAAGGAGCAGAGAGCAAATTATGGGATGTTGGATATCTTACACATTCAGGGAGGGTTAGGGTTAGAAAAAAAACCCTAAAAATAAAAAAGTTTCTACCTATATGAAAATGTTTGTGCACTCTCAGCGTACCGGGGATTCTTTTAAACGGAGAGGATGCAGAGTGCTGATCTTCTGTGCGCTCGCTGCGTCTGCCACACAGTACATTCTCAAAGTGGCGCAACAAAAAAATTATTATACACAGTTGTTCATATCGTTTACGTCCTCTGGTTCTCTGTCTTTTATTCGTGCCTGACGCACCTGCGGCAGTTTCACCTCTGACGCAGCATCCTAACGCTTTGCGGTCAGGAGATCTTTGATCTGCTCAGAAGTAACTGATGAGGTGAAAAAGTAAGAATCCAGGCAGCAGATTTTCTGGAGAGTTTAGAGGAGATGCAGGAAGATGAGAGACAGACAGGACAGGAAATAGTTAAATTAAAACAAGAAAACAAAACAAAGTGTTGAAAAGTAAAATGTAGGTAGATTTATCACCACTACACGTTTTTACCTGTATAAAACAATAAGTTCTACACATGTAATATTTATACATCTGATACAACGCAGATCACCATCAACACTCAGTCACACACCCAGGGCCGTTTCAAGGCTTTTGTGGGCCAAGGCCAAACAGACACCCCCCTCACTGGGCTCCCCCAGATGCCTCTGTGTAATTCCTACCCTGTCCAGAAATATTAATTATACAGTGTTTGTTCAGTTTTTATTGCTGTTAAAAGCCCAAGTTAAACCAGAGTTATGCTTACAAATGATCCTTCCTCTTAGAGGAGGATGAGCTGGATCATGAGCAGACAGTAAAGAGAAGTAGTAATGGCAGCACTTTATTTTATCTTCAGCTGTCTTTTGGTTGGCGGTCTGCTTAGTGGCGTATGCTTATGAGAGGTGCGCTCATGACGCAGCGTGTCCTGCTGGAGTGGGATGATGTAGAGTCGTACCGTGTGCCGCCTTTCTGGAGTTCGCAGTGTGACACGAGCAATCCCGTGCCACGGCCGAAAATCGCACAGTGTGATCCGGGCTTAAGACAGAAAAGAATGACCTATGTGGACAGGGCGCCTCAAAGACGATCAGCAGCAGGGCACAGGCTGTGTGACCTTTAGTCCTCAATCACAGCTTTGGGAAACATGAACTTCAAGTGTTGTTTTGACTGAGCAGCTTTGCTGTCTTCATGTCATGTGGTCCAAACTATAAAGGTCATTCATTTACTCTTCTTCTGCATCAGTCTGCTTTTCTTCTTACTTCTATCGAAATAACAGCTATTCCCACTAGACTACGGTAATTCTAACTGTGTGTGTACCTCTTGTCTGATGCTCTTGCGGAATCCTGTCATGGGTGATGTGGTGAATGCTTTACCAGGAACGCAGCTCACCACCACGGGCAGCCCCCCAGAGCATGACTCATTGGACTTTGTCGGAGGAGTCGGACCCAGTTTACAGCTGGACAAATGGGCCTCAGTGCCAGTGCAGTTGACAGAAAAGTCCCAGAAAGTTGGTTTTCTCCTCTGAGCAAACAATCTGGACGGACAGGAAAGAAGAAAAAAGTTAGCATAAAATGTTATTGATGTACGTATGGGTGTCAGAAAGGCTTATAGTTATGGCTATAGTTATGGCAGTTCTAGAAGATCCATTTGTAAAGTTACCCCGGTCTTATTTTGGTGGTCCAGTTTGTGACATCACTTCCTCTAGATAGTCACTTCCTGTAAAGCCGTTTCTACCATTTTGTCCAAGGTGTTGGTGATGGCAGACAGCCTCGTGTGCGTTCATGACTGATATGTAAGTTTGGTGAACCGTAGCACCTCTATGGATACATAAATAACCTATAAGTTCATTCAGTTTCCTTTATGTCTGTCTGGACATATTGTTTGGATTATTTAGAGGGAGTTCCTACAGTTTAATTGGTATCAGTTGCTATTCTCGCTTGCAGTCCTCATTTCACTTCTCTTAATTTGTTATGTGTGCTAAATTCTGGTTTATTTGTGTATTAATCCATTTACTCCATGTATATCCATCCATGACGTCAGTTCAGTTGAGGCGTGGTATAATGCCAGGCTAATTGGCAGCATGGTTTAGTAGTGTGGTACTTGCAACAGCAGTACCTTGGTTTGACCACCAGAGGTCCCTGGAGACCATATCATTTATCAGTGACTCTGAGGCTGGAAGTCACGGTATTTACTCTGTGTAACCCTTGAATGTGCATCATTTGGGAATATATTTGTTTTGCATAGTCTTTAACGTTTGCATATTTATTTCACCATTTGTACAGTCCTTTTACATCATTTGTATTTATTTTCCAGACCACACGGAACCACAGAAATGTACTGATGTCCATACTTCAACTGTCATTAAATACGTAAAACTGTCTCTCCGTGCCCTGCTCTCTGACCGGAGCCCTTATCTTGAAGATACTGTCAGATCAGCAAATAACTTCCAGAGTTCCCACTCTATCACAATGGGCGTAGGAACTTGTGGAGACAGGTGGGGCATGCCCCCCCCCCCCCCCCCCCAATATTGGAGAAGTGTGCATTCGTTCCCCCAATAGCGTGAAGGTGAAAACATGTAGATTTTGTAATATTTCACTCGCGAGCGTTTACTTTGAAAGACACGTCACAGACACACCCCCTCCCCTCGGTGGGTCTGACGGAGAAGCAAGGCTGCAGGAATCAGGACTAGACAGGAAACATCCACATGTAAATGTCTCTTCTGCAAGCGGACTCGGAGCCTCTACAAGATAATGCATTTTAGCCTGTATTTCTATATATTCTGCAGACACTGTGCGACTTTTTCATTTGTAGCACTCAGTTTCAGCTCACACCGTACGTCTGCTAGCAACACGTCGGACTTAAAATGTGCTAAAAATAGCAGTTTTTACAACACGTCGGACTTTTTACTGTGTTGTTGTTAATGTCTGTTGTCCCTCAGGATCGCTGCAGGAGGACACCGGTATTTATGAGTGGCGGAGGAAAATGAAAGGAAGTAAATAAATGTGTGATCTGTAGAATTTGACATAACCACGGCAAACATGCTTTCTCGACAATCCTTGTTAGTGTGAGACAAAACAAAGTGTAGAAATTAAAACAGACGTGTGTTAATAGGGAAACAGCTGGCGAGCCATGTTTGCACATGCGCCGTGAGCGGTTCTGGTGCTGTTTGGGCCGCAGCCGCTCGCATTTGTTTACTGTGAAGTAAAGTTGAAGTGCTGAAGTTTTGAAAACTAATTTTGAATAAAACTTGAAGAATAACTGGCAATTGCTTTCTCATTTCAAGAGGTCTTTCATATTTTATAACATGCTATTTGATATAATGGTTTACAAACGCAAAAGAGTCATTTATTAGAGTACTCGATTAATCGATAAAAGATTTGATAGAGTACTCGATTACAAAAATACTCGATAGCCGCAGCCCTAGTGTTTTGTGAGTCAACATTCTGAAAGTGTACTTGCGCAAGTGTCTGTTTAACACACGCTGGTCGAGTATGGGACGGCGAGATTTCCCATCCTTCTTTGGAATGAGGACGTAGCGCAAATAAAAACCCTGGTGGGCCTCGTCGCTCGGCACCATCCTGATTGCTTTTTTGTCCATCAGTGAAGCGATTTCGTTTTCCAGGATATGCACAGGATCCTCTCTTGCCACTGACCGTATTATCCCGTTGAAACGGGGCGGTTTTGAGGTTAACTGAAGCCTGTAACGCTGACAAACTGTCATCAGAACCCACGAGGGAACTGCGCATGCGCGCCACCTCTCGTCCCGCGCCAAAAGCAAGCCGCTGTTGGGTGACCCTAACCCTAACCCCGGGTTTCCACGGGAGCCGTCAGCAGCACTTTACTGCAGCAGCACGTCTTGCTCGCGTAAGCTGCTGCTTGGCCCTTCCCACGAGACACGAAGCAGCAGGGGAGCAGCTGTCACCGACCGAGCACGAAGTCACTCGAGTGACTTCGTCAGTAAACACAACAACAAGCAGGAGAAAACTACAACATGGCTCCAACATGGTTTGTGTTTTATGTTCTGTCCGTTTTATAATAGCCAATACGGACCTGAAAAACAAAGGAGACCGCTAGCTAGGTGATAACTTCTCACGGGGCCGCACAGTTAGTAACTGTTTTTAAAGTAAAGCGACCGGAAGGCAGTACGTTCTTTATTCTGAAAATCTCGGGAGCTTCTCTCCATTTCCGCGTCCGATTTCCTGTCTTTCCTTCCCCAAAAATGTCGAACTTGACCCGTTTCAGAGGCGTCGCGCGTAGGAAATAGAACCGGCGCGTAAAGGCCGCGACATGCTGCTCCTGAGACGCGGCCGACTCGCGCTGCTGACGGCTGCCGACGGCTCCAGTGGAAAAGGTTCTGTTGACCACAGCCGTTCCTATCAGCAGCTATGACGTGCTGCTGCAGTAACGTGCTGCTGACGGCTGCTGTGGAAAGCCGGGGTAACCCTAACCCCGCAGTAAGGCCAGAAAGAAAACAAAATCGGAGGTTAAGCGCTTGAAGCTCCTTTTTCCAATTACATTGAATGCAGCATGACGTAAACAAACACAGACTCCAGAGGCGCCAAAGTGGTTGCTGCTAGGATGCAGGATGAAGCGACGATTACTGCGTATTTAAACAAGACCAACAGTGTAAGTAGGCGGGACCGATCTGTCTGTTTATGCGTGTTGGTTCTAGTTTCAGTACGTTGTTGTCAGTGTTGGGACTTACTCGTTACAAACTCCAAAGCCTCATTGCTGACTTTAACAAGTCTCATCTACAAATATGATCCTCATGAAGTTACTGCTTTACACCAGAAGATAGTGGAGATGTGGAACCTTCAGGATGAGCAAAGTTTGGGAGTTTTTAGAGCTTGAAAATCGCCTCCCGCCGCCGAGAGGCTCCCAGTCGGGGAGAGGAGGAGATGGGTGCAGCATGAAGAGCGCAAATATGAGATAAAACGTATAACTGCCGGCAGGTCTGCTCTTTGTTGACTGATGACTTTGTCTGGTCATGACTGACTCTGATTATGAAGCAGAATACTGACTCTGATGAAGAAATTCACTCATCCAGCCGGGAAGATGGACGCTGCTGCAGCATCAGACAGCTGGTGCTGCACGAGAGGTGTGTGGAGTTTACGAGCTCCAAACGTTGGGTTTGATGTTGGTTTAACCTTCTCTGGGACGTGACGGATGTAGAAACTATGGTAAAACACCGCTAACGTGGCAGACGTAGCGACAATGTAAAAAACAAAAAAGCCGTAAAAAGAGGCAGATGCCGATGCGTTCCATATGGAAGTCAAGTGTGCCACATAATCATAAAAAAGGTAAAATATAAAATTTAAAAAGAGATTTATATATTTATATATAAATTAAAACTTTATAAATAACGAAAAAATACGAAGGAACATCTGTTGGTCAGGCTGAAAAGTTTGGGAACCACTGCTCTAAGTGATAAGTGAATATTGTTTTTTAAATATATTTTATGTGCAGTTTTTTAGGGCCTTCATGTTTTCTGTAAAGATCGGTGTGCTGAAAATCATTTAATGTTTTGCATAAAGCATGAGGTTTTGGTTAGTACTTGATTGGATGAATAACAAATGACTGAATTAAATAGTGGGGCGCCTCTGTCAGTGCGCCCCAGGGCAGCTGTGGCTACATCGTAGCTCATCACCATCAGTGTGTGAATGTGTGTGAATGGATAAATAATACACTGTAGTGTAAAGCACTTTGGAGTCCTTACTCTGAGAGGCGCTATACAAGTGCTGATCATTTATCATTTATAGTGTTGATCAGGCAGAGCTTTGTTGCCAGCGTTCCACTGCAGAATGGCTTCAGACACGTGTATAAAAGTTAGTTTTTACGTAAACCGTTGGATGAAATTACACTAACTCACTGAGCTCTAGTTAAGGCTCTTGCAATAGTTTGTGTATGTGTACATGTGTGTGTGTGTGTGTGGGGGGGGGGGGGGGTGGAGGGTACATTGGAACTTTGTCCCCCCCAGTTTGAAAATCCTATCTGCGCCCCTGCAACTGTGGAATGCGCTCTGTTCGTGCACAAGGCTCCATTCCTGGCACAGTTTAAATCAAACCTAAAAACACATTTCTTTCAATCAGGTTTATGCTAGTGAGCATTCTTTTTATTTTGAGTTTCTACTTTACTAGCTGTTTTTTATGCTGGTCTCATGAACCTGAGCTGGGGGAGGTTGAACCCAAGGTGCAGGAAACCCAAAACCACACGAAGTTGCAGAGTGCAACAAATATAAAAACCTTTATTCCAGAGACCGGGAGGCGAAATAAAAGAAGGACTAGAATCCAAGTCGTCAGCCCAACCCCAACCCTAACCCATCCAAAAAACCAGAGATGTAAACCAAGAAACAGGGAACACTGTAGCACACGCAGCAAACATGTTGACCAGACACTGACCCAACAAACGCTGAAGGACAAGACAGGCTTTTATACACAGAGGCCAGTGATCAGGAGACGAGGAGCAGGTGTGTGGGGAGAGAGAACGGAAGGGAGACTGGTGAAATCAGTAAACTAAACGAGAAGGAAAAACAAAGCAGAGGAGGGGGTTAAACCAGAACCTGTAAGACTATACATAAATAAACCTAAACAGAAGAATAAGGGCACAGGAGAACCAAAGATAAAGAAGTGACAGAACTAAATACATTGAACGGCAGGGGAGACTAATTAACCAAGTTGGGAAGGAACATGAAAGTACTGAAGGAGGGAAACTAAACCACTATAAACATACTAAGGATAGGAAAGCTCATAAACTTAAAACAAGAACTTAAAGGGGAGATCTAATAATGGGGAACAAGGGGGAAACCTGGAAGGGGCTGAGGAACGCAGGGACGCAGAACATGGCAGCTAGGTCTTGTGTGTTTTTATTGGTATGACTGTTCTGTATGTCCCTTTATGTTTTTGTCATGTTTTGGTGTAGTAGGATGTTTGGGACCCAAAATGCAGAGAACCAGATGAACCAGGCAGGAGGTAGAGGATGAAAATAAATCCTTTATTTAGGAGTAGTCCAAAGGCAGGGAGCCAAAACCCAAAAGACTAAACCAGAGATCCAAAAACACTAGAAGCTAGAGAGCAGACGAGACTGACAAGAAACAATGGACCGACAAGAACACAGAGACAGACAGGGCTTAAATACACTGGGAGGAGCAATCAGGGAAACAGGAAGCAGGTGTGTGGGGTGAGCTGCTGGAGGGAAGGCAGGTGACACTAATCAACTCAATGGGGAAAACAGAAAACAGAGGATGGAGGACACCAGGAGGCACATAAAGGAGGGGGGCCAGATGCAGACCATGACAGTTTCAATGGTGTTTTCTTTACAGCACTTTGGTCGGCTGACTAGCTGTTTTTTAAATGTGCTATACAAATAAATTTGATGTGGTATGTGTACGGTAGCCTTGTAGCAAGAAGGTCCTGGGCTCACATCCCAGCCTGGGGTCTTTCTGCAAGGAGCTAGCATGTTCTCCCTGTGCATGTGTGGGTTCTCTCCAGGTACTCTGGCTTCCTCCCACAGTCCAAAAACAACGCAGTCAGGTTGACTGGTCTGTCTAAATTGTCCCTAGGTGTGTGTCTCTGTGTTGCCCTGTGATAGACTGGTACTCTGTCCAGGGTGTACCCCACGCGTTTGCCCGTTGACTGCTGGAGATAAGCACCAGCCCCCCACGCTACCCTGCATGGACAAGCGGGTTCAGACAATGGATGGATGAATGTGTATGGTATTGTTATAAATATCTGTAGTGCTTATTAATGGGAAATGGCCTGTATTTGATATAGCACCTTCTAGTGTCCTGGAAACTCCAAAGCTCTGTACAACACAGTTATTCACCCATTCACACATTGGTGGGGATGAGCTACGATGTAGCCACAGCTGCCCTGGGACACACTGACAGCACAGGCGCCACCGGTCCCTCCGACCACCACCAGCAGGCAAGGGGGGTTAAGCATCTTGCCCAAGGACACAATGACAGTGACAGACTGAGCGCATCTTGAACCTGCAACCTTCCGACTACGGGACGAGCGCTTAACTCCTCTGCGACCATCACCCCAAATTAAGCCACACACACTCACTTGTAGACTCTGGCATTGTGTTTCTTCTCCCCGGGGAAGCCAAACATGCCACAGATGACTCTGCTGTTAAACTGAGTCCACTCTGTGTTACAGATCTGCTTCCATTTGCCACCATCTTTCACCTCAACGTAGCCCTCCGTCACCGGGATCTGCTTACGGTATGACGACAGGATGGCTCGTATGCGCACATCCTCCACATGAACGTCAAGGTTCTGCAGGTAAACAGAGAAATGCATCTAAATAAGGTGTTTTCATCATAATCTGTTGATAAAATTACTTTTAGACAGAGATGGCAAAAGTACTGATGTTCTTTAAGTAGAAGTACAGTGTAAAAAAGTACTCTGGTTAAAGTGAAAAGACTTTATTGAGTACAAGTAAAAAGTACAGGCTCTAAAAAGTACTTAGTTACAAAAAGTAAAAAAATGTCACCTTAAATTGCAATAGAAACCATCTGGTTTGGATTGAGAAGTTTATTTCAACAACACAACGATCACATTTACATAACAGGTCACATTGTGTGTGAAAAAGTTTAAGGCACGCAAAATAGTTTAGTTTTCATCTTTTGTTTATTCACATTGTGTCGCTAGATAAATTAACACCAATAACTGACAGTTTATCTTTGTAAAAAATAATATTGAAATGTTTTAGTTGCAGAGTCACGAAGGTCCTCTGATTTGAGACAAAGGTCACATTTTCCCAGCTGGGTCAGACTGTAACTTTTGGTTCTACAGATGAATCCAGGAGCCGTGATGTCTGCTGAATGTCACCCTTTATCTGCTGCTGCTCTTCCCAGAAGAAGGACACTTCAAGTTTCACAATGATAATTTTAAATAGTAATTTTAATAAACTCTTGACTTTATTACTGTTATTACAATCTTCATAAATAATCTCTTGGGTCAGTAAATGTATTTTAATTACTGAAATCAATTATTGTGCTTTGGGAATAATTGTGATTATGGTCGATAATCGGTTATGTGTGTTCAGCAAACCAGAAGTCATCTGCTCGTAACAGCTTCATTCAGAACGGATCCAGGGCAAACGGTATAATCATCACATGTTTTTTACTCATGACCAAGCTTTCTGACGCTGAGAGTGGGCGTGTTTTGAAGGGTTTGTTCAAACTAAATCTTCCGGAGCTGTAACTTCAGTTCGTGAACCAACCACCATCCTGAGGATGAGGGACGGCTGCCCTGAACCTCCACCTGCTGTTGTGTCACGCCGATAGAATAGCTACGAATGAACGCAATGATAACCAGCTGACGCAAAACTCCTTCAGAGTTACGGACTTTGAGACGCAAATAGTTCCACCAGTCGAGTGGCCCAAGGAGACATCTCAGGACCGATTTGGTCACACTAGAGGTCCTTCTACCACCCTCGCGCCTGGAGGAAACCATCTCCACCTGACACTTTGGATCCAGAAGGGGGTCTTCTATACTGGGTGAGGTAGACATACTGACACATGGTGTTTGATGCCGTTCTTCCTAAGAAACGACTCAGTTAGCTGCAAAACCATCATTTTCCCCCCCAGAAACGCTTCTCTCGCTGAAAGAAACCTTCTGAAGTTCATTCACGCGTCCAAAACTCGCATTTTCAGTTTAGCTTCCATTCAGTCACAGGTTTGCCTTTAAAACAAGTTTAATATCAAAGCTGTTAAAAATTGTCATTTCAAATTGTCATAGTTTTAAAGTGTTAGTAATAAATTCTTAACTTTAAAAATTTGACTCTCTTCTTGAAATTAAACACAGAATGGTGTGTATTCCTGGTTACTGAAAAAGCAAAGATCCCTTTAATTTCTGAGTAGATAAATAAACTTTTGCCATTAAATGTAATTATCTTAAATTAAACATTAATCTTTGGATTAAAAATAGACCAAGCTCGTTGGCATATAAACTTCTATCGAATATATAATATCCTAGATATTTATATATGATAGAAGCTTCATTGTCAATTCGTTTGGATCTTTTCTCAGAATCTAGCAACTGATAGCAAACGGTGTTGATTCTAGTATGTAGATTAATACGCTACATAGTAATTAAATATTGTTCAGGTCTAGAGAGAAAAGAATTCTGGGAGCTGATGGATGTGCTGCTATTGATGTTATTATCCCCGATGTCCACACAGAAAGACATGGCGCTGGTGGAACTGGCTGCTGCTCACTCTGCTTTTCTTTCTTTATGGTATTTTATTTTAGCTTTCCTTTCTGTTTCAGTTAAGTTCGTAAGTTGCTGAGTTATTGAACCTTTGTGATCGACATCTGGTGAACAATGTCTTCATGAGAACGTTAAATACAGTCGGGAGCAGCTGCTGGCGCTGCGCAGCACTGTAGTTTTCCCTAGGGACAGACATGAGATCCCCGCGGAGGTGCTGCGGAAAAGTCGCCGCGGTCACCGAGCTGGCAGGAAACTACGTGAAAAGAAGAGAAGATTCAGGCCCGCTCTCCCCTCGGTTATCATGGGAAACGTAAGATCCCTCTCCAACAAGACAGATGAGCTGGCGGCCCTCACGAAGCATCAGCGGGAGGACAGAGAGAGCTGTGTCCTCCTGTTTACAGAGAGCTGGCCTCGCCGCTCATCCCGGACTCCATCGTGTCTTCGGACAACTTTCGTCTGCTACGGGCAGACAGGACAGAGGACAGCGGTAAGAGGAAAAGAGAGGGGCTGGCTGTGTTTGTGAACAAAAGGTGGTGGAAACCGGGACACTGCACAATTGAAGAGAAACTGTGCAATAATAACATTGAACTGCTGCTAGCTGTTAGTATGAGGCCATATTCTCTGCCACAGGAGTTCTCACACGTTATTGTGATCGTGGTGTACGTGCCCTTCTGCAAACGTGGAGAGCTGACCACAACATGGTACACCTCAACCCTGTGTATTGTCCAGTTGTGCACAGGCAGGCTGTGGCCCCACGTACAGTGAGGAGGTGGACTGATGAGTGTGAGGAGGCTCTCAGGGACTGCTTCAACACCACGATGTGGACAGAACTCTGTGATCCACATGGGGAGGACATCAACGCCATCACAGATTGCATCACAGACTACATAAACTTCCGTTTTGAGAACACCGTTCCCTCCAGGACGGTGCAGTGCTTCGCGAACACCAAACCATGGATCACCCCCGACATCAAAACTCTCTTAAAGGAGAAAAAGAGAGCCTTCAAATCTGGGGATAAGGAGGGGCTGAGAACCGTTCAGAAGGAGCTGAGGAGGAAGATTATGGAGCTCCGGGAGTTGACGTCCCTTCTCCCGGCATGCAACAGTTCAAATCGAAACGGTGCCATATTGGCAGGCAGAAGCCCGCAGCTGGACTATTTGTTATTGTCAGAAAACTCGATCAAATGGGAAATATGGTAGATTCCTGTTGTGCTCCAGGATGCAGAACAGACGCGGACGACATAAGGACTGAGCCATCTACAGGATTCCCCAAGATCCGGAGCGCCACAAATGTTGGATCATTGCTATTATCTGTCTCACCGAGACAGGTCTCAGACAGATCCTGAGACGCTCCTGCCTGACATATTTATTTTATTCACGGAAAAAAATCAAACTAATGATTTCTCTTGGCGTTCAGTTTATACATTCAAACAGCACAGCACTCTATTTAAACTGCATACATGTAAATCTGTTATTTGTCCATCCATCCATCCATCCATTTTCATCCGCTTATCCGGAGTCGGGTTACGGGGCAGTAGCGTCGAGAAGCCCAGACTTCCCTCTCCCCAGCCACTTGGGCCAGCTCGTCCGGGGGAATCCCAAGGAGTTCCCCTGCCAGGTCCGGTAAGAAGTCCGCTCCGACAGCTTCTGGCGTTTTTAAAAAGTATCCCAGGGAAACGGTAAGGGTATGAGATGTTTAGTCTATTTAATTTCTGACTATATAAAATGATTCCTTCGGTTTTAAAGTGTGAAGTAAACTCCGACGAAGTAAAATCCAAGCCGTTCCCGTTCATTTTGTTTACATTTATTGCCTGCCAACATGGCGTCTACTCTCTGAAGCCCCCTTCAGACAGGCCATGAAAAACGGAAATGTTCCGGACTCTGTCCGTAAGACCTTTCTGTCTGAATACAAACATCCGGATAACGTGTTCCGGAATTTATCCGGACGAAGCCCCTAGTAACAGGTCCGGAATTGTTATGGACAGGGTGGCTGCTTCAGACTGGTGAGGTAGAGTTCCGGACAAGGAGGAGGGGACTGGGGGACGCTGTGCACACCTAGATAGCTCGCTGCTGTAGCATGCAGCGAACCATGGCAGCTCGCCTCCTACGGTACCGCCTAGACGCGCGACGGAGCGCTTCACACCGCTTCAGTGATTCCTTTAACCATTGAGCTTCATCATCCAGGTCTCTTATGAGTCTTCGTGTGCGCAGAGTTATGCTTAAGCGCCTCGTGATTTTTATCTTGAGAGGCGCTATAGAAATGATATTTTCTTCTTCTTCTTCTTAACATGAGTCCGATAACCCCCCCCCCACCCCCCCGCGCCGCCGTCAGACATCTGCAACTTTTCTCCGCTGTGTCAACGCAGCCGAAAGGACAAGTTCCGGTACAAAAGTGGTGTGTCTGAAAACACAGTTCCAGTTAAAAACCGGATTGAATTGTCCACAAATGTTCCTGAATGTCTGTCTGAAAAGGGCTTGAGAGTCACGTGACGTCTGGAGCTCTATGGAGGGGAAGGCCAGCTACAAGAGGAAAATGGAGGAGCAGCTACAGGAACAAAACATCAGTGAGGTGGGGAGAAGCGTAAAACCCATCTCTGGCTTCAAAACACCCCACTCACAGGGGGAGGGGGACCTGAAGTGGGCCAGCGACCTAAACCTGTATTTCAATAGGTCTGACCAAGCATCCACCCCTTCCCCCACACAGCTGCATTCAAATAACTCGACACCTGGACGACCCCCTACAGCTACAGCCCTTCACACCTCTGGCTCCTCCATTCAGACCTCCATTCAGACAGTCATGCACCCCCCAGGACTCGGCCCCCTCTCCAGTACAGAGGTGCACTGCCCACCCCTCTCCTTTACAGCAGGCCAGGTGAGGAGAGAGCTGATGAAGATCAAAGCAAAAAAAAGCTGCTGGTCCTGACAAAATTAGCTCCAGGCTCCTTAAATCCTGCGCAGATGAACTGAGTGGAGTTATGGAGCATGTCTTCAACCTGAGCCTCAAGCTGATGTCATGGTCCGTGGTGAGCTGCCTGCCAGTAATCTTGTTTTGTCCTCTGAGTC